TATAAACTTTGGAAAGCACTAAAACCTAATATGAGAGACTAGTACAAAAATATCAGCAAACTTTAAATATACTGTTGCACATGTCAATCCTGTCTTTGCTTTACTGTGCTTTATGATTGGAACTTCATCCGGACTAGATTGACTAATATTTGTGGATGCACTCAGTTAACAGATAACCTGGTTTTATCTTGACAAAAAAATATTGTGAAATAATCCTAGATGTGTTTGCCCAGATATGTTCTAAATGAATATGCCTCTTAACTGTTTATTATAAAAGACTTAATTTGTAGAATTGCTGAATAAGTAGTCACATGCCAGTTGTTGTTTTTTTTTTGAAGTTTTATCTGTAAAATAAATATTGACTTTACCTTCTGGTAGCCCACATTTAGAGTGAATTACTGCTATAATTCTAAAATGGAAAACATAATTCAATTCCTAGTGGTTATAAATGAGAAGATAATTTCTAATTCCAAGTAGGGTTGCCAACTTTCTAATCGCACAAAACCGAACACCCTTGCCCAGCCCCTTCTTCAAGGCCCCTCCCCATTCACTCCATCCCCCCTCCCTCCATCACTCGCTCATTTTCACCGGGCTGGGGAGGGTTCCTTTTCAACTGGGTGTTCCGGTGCTGGAGGAGGTGCTGGGAGGTGGGAGGGAGGGGGAGGAGTTGATCGGCAGGGGCTGTAGGTGCATGGGAGCGGGGGGGAGGGGGAGGGAAGGGAGCTTTGCTGTTGGTGGGTGCTAAGCACCAGCTAATTTTTTTCCGTGGGTGCTCCATCCCTGGAGTACCCACGGAGTTGGCGCTTATGGTTAAAAATATATATATATTTTTTTTTAACTACTAAGAAAGATAATGCTGCTTGGTACTTATACAGCACTTTTCGTCTTCAAAGTGATCTATTAAGCCTCAATTAAGTGACATGACATCCTTCTTAATGAGCCAATTTTCATTTAACCAGAAATAGGGTGACCAGATGTCCCGAATTTATAGGGACAGTTCCGATTTTTGGGCCTTTTTCTTATATAGGCACCTATTGCTCCCCACCACCTGTCCCAATTTTTCACACTTGCTATCTGGTCATCCTAACCAGAAAGTTCAAGACTATCACCATGTTTCCCTCAGTGCAGTTTTAACTAGCTCACTAGAGTTTGGGCCACTTCCTCATGTACAGTGATCAGATACTATGATGCAACTTTCTGATTGTTTGAATTCTTATGCAAGTCCATTTTAGAGCAGCTTTATTTTAACAATTTAAAAGCCAGTATCAGAAATGTTTTTCACACATTAGCTAAATTAGCTGTTTAGATCTGTCCAGAAATTTACCATCCTCAGCCCAAAGTCCCACTTATAACAATTGGCTTACTACAAAACTTACAAGCTAACCATAAGATCAGATTTCCTGACAAACAATTTTTCTTAATTAATTATGTATTCACCTTAAAGAGAGAGACGTGAAGGGACAGGTGGTAATGAACTACAGGTGATTTTTCTTAAAGCATCCAGGAAAGAGTATATGCAAAAGTCTTCCCTTATTGATGCTATTAAGTGTTACTCTGTGCCAAATAATTTTATTTTTATGTATTGTAGCCTTTTATTCTATTTAATGTTAATTATACTCCAGTGGATTCTGCTGTGGCAGCTGCAGTCTCAAGTTCAACAAAGTTATCTCTGTTCTAGATCTAGAGCCTATAGGAACGCATGAAACCATAGGCAAATAACACATACAATTACAACAGCATTTATCTTTTAGTAGTTTTATTAAAGTTCCAACAAAGTTATAAATGTCACAGCATATACAAATCCTAAAGATAAGTACAATGTACCAGTTATACCTACAGACGTATTCACGTCGTCCTAGATGGTGTTAGTCTGTTGTCTCTCTCATGGATTGAGCATCAATACGGGAGTGGTTCCTGCTGGAGTTTCCCATAGAAAGCTCAATTTTCCTGGTCTGGGCGCCTTTTTTATACTGTCAGTCTGTCTATACCTACATTCTGCGCATGTACACGGAAGTGTCAACCTCTCTTTCTTATTGGTCTGTGTCCCTTATTAATTTTCCCTGTTCATATTCCAGGCTATGAAAAATCTATCTGTTTTAACCTGGATGAAACACTGACCCCTTGAGACAAAATATCCTGTCTGTTCAGAAGGTGCTGCTATATTTTGAGATTTGGGCTTCTTGGTCAATGTGGTGCTATAGAGCACAGGTGTGTTTCTTCTTTCCTCACCATCTGAACAGCACCTGACAAA